CATGCTGTTGCTCTTATATAGTGCCCTCATGTGCAATAACATGTAAAAAATAATAAAGTTTTCAAAATAATCTCGACTTCAAAGTACTGTTTATAATTAACGAATGAATCACGTTTCGTCTAATCATTATGTATTTAAAAGAAGAATACGTCCGTTTCGAATTCCAAAATTACTTTATCAATATAATACTGAACTATGTTATAATAAGTACATAACTAGGACTTGCTAAGTAGATGTGTTCAACTTTATTTATACGTAGATGGTCTGTTCTGAATAAAAACAGTCTATTTGGTTCTAATATTTACCAAATCTAATAAGTGTTTTATGTTATAAGTTGACTTTGACATAAAAAACTACATTTTAATGTATAATCTCGCTTCTGTGATAACTTTAAAATCCTGACTATGACGGCATAAATTTCGCGATTCGTTCTTGACCGATTATATATTAGATAGGTATTTAAGGATCGTTGTGCTGTCGCCCGATCAAGGTTGAAAACCCCATTAATAATTTCACTTGTGACTTGAGACGAGTTTGAGTTGGTTGTTAGTTTGTCCTTTAACTATACAAGGTTTTCACTTTAACGATAAATATATGTTATTAATTCGTAGGGAATTACAATGTTTTAGGGTCTTTGCCATACAACCATATTGGTGGTAGTAATTAGTGTATTCACATCAAGTTCAGTGTCGTTTCCTTGAGATAACATGAAGGCCGTTATATGTTTGGCAATAATGTAAGAAAAACATAACAGGTTCGGCAGAATATGTTACATCGTATTTACTGATGACCTACTTTAGCTTAAAGGCCTTAAGACACTTATTAAAATGTTTTTAGTTTACTGTCTACTATCTCGTATCAAACAAACAAACTCTTCAGCTTTATATATTAGTATAGATATTATTTATTAGGTATGTTATGGGAGATAAGTACGAGAGCTCCTAGGTGGGAATCCTGAGAACGTTACTTCCTTTGATCGGGCAGGGCACCTAGAAGTCTCATCAACTACGAACAAAAAAGCGATCAGTTGTACACGATCATGTGTTCGCCCCATGTCCCATAGAAGGAAACAGGACTTCGCTTTTAATTATCTATATCTACTAATATATAAAGCTAAACAGTTTGTTGGCATGTTTGAACGCGCTAATCTCGTGAACTACTAGTTCGAATTGTAAAATTATTTTTGTGTTGGTTAGAACTATTTATCGAGAAAGGCTTTAAAACATCGCGATATGACTTATAGGAGAGATGAAACAACGCGAAATGTGAAGGAACGGGGAAAATTCGTCTTGTGGGTTTCTGTTGCGTACGTTACGAAAACCGTTTCTCTTTAAATGACCTTAAAAAAACTTTTTCCGCGGCGCTATATGTCTATTTTTTAAGATTAACTTGCAATAACGACGGAAAACGACACGACCGACATCGTGGGTAACAGTTTAAGTTTATAAAGATGAAAGGGTTTGCAAAAACAAAATTTGATGTCCAAAACAACGATTCTCGCGGACGAAGGCGCTGACACAGCTAGTGATAGAATATTTATCGAGCCTTTAGTACTCTTTGTTTTACGTAAGAGCATAATGTTGAGGCAGAAGTGCACGTAGACTATAATTTGCAAAACATTCCACCGACTGAAGCCGCAATCAAATAAAATTAAAAACAAAATGTTACATGTGCAATAGTTTGTCGGAAACAAGTTCTTGGATAAGATAAATACGCATCTCTTTACGTCATCATTGCGATCACGAACTTGATATTAATTGTTTCAGCGAATTTACGTTCGTCATAGAAATAATAAAACCATAAATCATAGGAAGATTTCTAGAAGGAAAAGTGGACCTACCAATTGTATCTTCTATTGGTAATTTCGCAAACGAGGACGAAACTTTCTGAGTGTTGTGAATTCTAATGTAATCTTACATTTTTTACGTATCCAAACGTTAAATTGTGTAAGTACTTAATTCCAAAGGTTCATTCAAAATTTATCATTAATACTTCATATTATATATATTTCAATCTTTCAATACTATTTTCTGCAAAAGCATACAACACCTACATGATTTATAAGATTTTTATGCTTTTGTAATTTGCTTACTTCTCAACTATTACTTATTTATTTTAAAGATTTTATAGGAAATTTGCGGTAGTTAATAATTATTATAATATAAAGATTTTCCTGCTTGGAAGCGCCACAACGTAATTAATCTATCTCCATAAGTAGGCATCTATGCACAATACCTAATAACAAGTTAATTTTGTAATACGTGTAGATTGACTTCTTGATAAATATATACATGTCCATTATTATTATATAATAAACAAAAACTATATGGAAGAGGAATAAGTATACAGTATTATCTTGATTAATTTAGAATCCATGCTGTCTTGGTTCGTGGAACAATACCATTCTGGGAAGTAAGGTAGTCTAAATCCTACCAATAAGAATTAGAACCTTGGGTATATCAATATCTGAGAATATACAACATTTATGTCTGTTGTCGTGTTGTACAATTTGAAATAAATAAAAATATTTTCTTTACTTATTATCCTTAGAGTTAACTACGTTGTGTTGGCGATTAAAAAATACTATATCAAAGTTTTGTCCCGAAAGTTAGGGTACTAGACTGTACTCAGAAGGCTAGAGAAATTTTGCAGTAGTCCAAGACTGATGGAGGCACCTCAGTAAAATCAAAGTCCAAACTGAACGACAAGTCAAGAGCATATGATAAGGTTGCATGTCAAAGGTGATAGGGCCTACTGATTGTATTTTTGTCAATATCTTAAATTATCGCAACTTGTAAATACAGTATTGTTTAAGAATTAATTAAAATTTATAAAGATAAATATAATCTTGGATAAAGTATCAATTGTTCTAGGACAATTATATAATTATTATTACATATTAATTAAGGTCTTGGGTAAAAAAACAACTTAAAGTGCCTTTTATAACTTACATGATAACCTTTTTTTGTTAAACGCCAGTACACAACACAGCACAATTATCACAAAATAGATTAAAAACAAAGTATTTTTTCGAAAATATAGACGTGTCTCTAGATAAAATAAGATTCTCACAGACACGGCTCGCTACAATGACACCACGCCGACGACTGCCATTCTTTAGCCTTTGGTGATTGCAGAGGTTTCAAATTAAGCAAACATCTTGCGCGAGCGCATTTCTGTATATTTGCATAATAACTTGACGACCTTTACAGTCTGGGTGCTATATCTTAAAAAAGCCACTTTTTCGTATTAAACCCAACTCTTTTCTATGTTTTGATTTATATAATACTAGCTGTGCCAGCGACTTCGTCCGCATATAATAGTTATTTTGGGCGTCAAAATTTGTTTTTGCGAACGTCCTCCTCATTACAGCTCTTACCCACGACATTCGTATCCCGTCGTACGCGTCCCGTCGTTCGGGTCGTTCTTGCAAGTTAGTCATAAAAGATAGACATATAGCGTCGCGGACTTTTTAGATCATTTAAAGAGGAATGATCCTTCCATACATATTATTTTGGTTTCTTGAACCGTTTGCGCAGCGTATGCATAGGGAACACACAGAGATGAAAAATGTTCCCCATTTTGTTCATATTTCCCGCTGTACCTTGGTTTCTATAAGTCACAGCGCGATGTTTTGTAGCCTTCTGATTAATACTCTAACACAAAAATAGTTTTTCAATTTGAACCATTCGTTCCTGAGGTTAGCGCGTTCAAACAAACAAATAAACTCTTCAGCTTTATATATTAGTATAGATGAGGCTGCTAGAGGCAGAGTGACCAAATAGCAAAAACAGTTTTCAATAAGGAGGAAAAAAATGCGCAATTAACTTAGGCAAAAATGAATTATAACTTCGGTATGTGCTCTTCTAGATTAACATTTTGAAACTATAAAAATATATATAACTCGGGTCATAAAATTGCAGTTAGGCTATTCTGCCTCTAGCGGCCTCATATCTAATACTCGTAGGTACCACTAATGTATTTTTTCTTGTTCGCTCAGTATTATCACTGAGATTTTATTGTTTCGTAACATTCTAGTCAACCCTCAAATGATCCATATATCCTTTCTTTTAGTTGTATTACACAAATCGACTTTTCTTACGTGATTATTAATTAACAAAATTTATAATAAAATTAATACAGTCATGGGTCGTCAAATCATTCATATATAAGCTATACAGAATGTGGTACGGTAGGGGTGATTACGGTCCTCAGACGCACTAACTAATCTGTTTATCTGTCTGTCTGTTTGGACGTATAAAAGTACAATGTTTCGTAGTATTTTCTACTTAGAACATACATAGATTAAAACTGCATAGTAATCAAAACATTACAATTTTCATATTTCACTAATTATGTTAGCCTATTATTATTATTTTAATGTTTATATATTTATAATCTCCCTTTCGTAAGGGGTTGAAAACAACTATAATGCGGACCTCAGCCAAGCGTTATAGTTGTGGTCGAATCCGTATTTAAAAATATTATTATTATTAGATTTATATTAGATTAACGAATAATTAATCTATAGGTATAGATCACAGTCAGTATTTTTTTATAGTCTAGTCGATTTTACTAATGGAATAATAAAATAAACTGGCGATTTTCAATAGATTACCAGTGATTAATATTTTAGCAATAAATAAATACCTTGACCCACTAAATAATAAAACACTTTAATACTTATTGACGCGCGTTATCAGACACATTGCCAGATATCTGGTATCACTGATAACAACTGACTCATTATAGCATGTATAACTCTTTGGAACACCTATTGTTTAGAACGCGTACTAACTTTCCTAACAACAAATACAACCTATTTGATTGAATCGCGAGTTTATTTTCGATTACTTAAACAAAAACGTGTAAAAAAATACGAGTGCTTTTTTCTACGCGGAAATCTTAGTGATGGTAACGTTTGAAGACATAAAAATTCTTCGCTGGACATTATATATCTATCCGACGTTTCGTGAATAAATGTGAAGATAGGGTCGAAGATGAGCTTAAACAAAACGGATAGTACGAACGAGATGGGCGTTAGCGATGGAAGGGACAGTGCGTGCTATTTCTGTAATGATTTGTTTGAAATGGGAAAATTGCAAGTAAGTTTCACTCTTATACAGTAAGTAAATCCCCCCGTGATGCATGGGACGAACATGTTTCTGATGCCGTTTCGCCGACCGGTTTTATTAATTAATAATAAGCCTGTTAATAATATTTTATTAACAGGCTGAAGTTGATCACACATCTGTTCCCTGCCTGATCAAAGCATGCTATTTTATTATTTTACCCAGGATTCGAATGCATCGTACCAAATCGCGCTTACCTCTAAGCAACACGTTTAACCATTCACTCGTAGCTACAGAGGTGGCGTCTCTCTCGACTTTAATAAAGTAGTCATCAAAGCAGTCTGAAATGGGCTATATTTTCATAGCTGAATAACAAAAAGCCTGGAAAAAATGGTCTTAATTTTGAAGTAGATTAAAATACTTGATCCTAGTGTTAACGTATTACACAAGTCTTTAAACTAAGGCTTTACATATACTTATTACTATTGGGACAAAAATCACTGTAGTTTGCTTAGAATGGAATTTTAAACGGCAATCATTTTTTATTTATTAAGTAATATTAAGAACCAAGAAGGAAATAATAAAAGACAGAATGATGTATCTTTACAATGAGAAGCTACCTTCCAAGGTCACACAGTTCAGATCACGAACAGCAGATATCTACGTGATCCCATGATTAAGATTGTTAGGCCTTAAGCTGGTTTGAGCACGTTTTACTCACAGTATGGAGCATCTATTGAACATATCATATATAATTTTATATGTAGGTTAGTTTAAATTGGCGCATTAAATAGGATATCTAAACATGCGGATATCTAAACATAATTAGTAAGAAGATCTAGTCCTCCCACAGTACAAAGAGAAAATATGATTACTGAATACTCGTAACGCATGACGAAAAAAAACATTCGTCACTATTTTTTGCAAAAATATGTGCATTTTTATCCATAAATAAATCATGAACATGATAAATGATATTACAACTAAAAGAATACTCTGATAGCCTTATGTTGTTATAAAAACATTTCAGAGCCACTTGAAGCAATGTGGCAGTATCCTGGAACAGTGCCCGTTGCGTTGTGGCGCCTGGATACAGAGGAAACACAAGGAGACACACGTCCAGGACTGCCCCATGATGGAGAAGGTATTTTAAGCTAGAAATATTTCATTAGGTATATCTCGTTGTTTCTAGACCTAATAAACTATTAAATTTAAATTGACTGTTTAGGCCAGAAGTTTTAAAAAGTAATACATTTATATCGTCTTCCTTTTAGCTGAACTGTTCCTCTTTCCTTGTGACAATTTCTTGCCGTCATATTTAATTATATGCCTATATAACCTTACCTAGTGATAATAATCATCTTTTATATCAGACACGCAACACAGTATCACCGACACATGTAAGAATATCGGATCCTGCACCACCCATCGTTATCAACCACACATGGACACCTAAAACGGTTCCTCTTGAGGAGTGTGTGTCTTACCTGGAGAAAGAACTAACTAGTATCAAGTAATATTTTCTTATTGTACAATTGAATTCAAACCTAGGACCTCTTACGCTTAAAAACTGTACAAATATAGACCTTTCTTAAATTTGATTAAATCTTGTTCATTTGAAACATTAAAATATTGTTTGTTGTTTCATATTGTAGTCTTTAGTACGAGTATTATAGTGATAAAAAATTTGATGTACCTTGAGTATCTGTTCTGTTGTTAACACAAGCGTTGAATAAAACAGTTTTAACGGTTTATAACGCAGATAATTTAGGTTAGTTTTGCAAATTTATTTATTCATGGTACATTAACGTCTTAACGCCTTGGTTGAAACGTTAATGTGCTTAATAATCTTTTCAGACTAGTGCTCACTGAACAATCTAGCAACCATGACATCCAAGCAACTGAAGTAGAGAACCTTCGCTCCAAGTTGGTTCTTGTAGAGGAACGGGCCCAGCACTTTCTATCGACCCTCATTTCTCTTCGTGCAGCGTTAGACGACGAGGCAGAGAGATCTGCCAACTGGGCTGCACAATTTAAACATGATCTAGCCAATGTTCAACTAGCTTTACAAGTGTGAATCCTAAACCTTTCAAATATCATAAATAATGACTCAAAGCTTGTAAGGGGTTTTGTTTAAAAAAAAAGGCAGTAACCGATTCCCAAACGAATGCCATCACCACAGTAGTGTCTAGTGACGACTGAAATCACATGGCACAAACTTCAAGTCGAAATTTTTTGATCAAATTCCTAAACACCCTAAAAACTAATTAACTAAAGAGATATTTTTCGCGAACCAGGATTTAAACCCTGAATCCAATCTACAGACAAACATTGATAGTAAACAACAAAACATATAATGATGGAAGTGTTTTATTTTTAACATTTATCACGTATATCTCATAAAATCGCATCTGTCATAAAAGATAACATATTGAAATTTCACAAGTTAAATAAGTGCAGAAAACTCCAATAGGTAAATATTTACGTAAAGCAATCCTCTCAATCTTCAGGAACTACAAAGCCAGCAGCTGACAACGACGATGCGCCTGGAAAGCGCTATCAGCAGCATCGTGCATGAGCAGAATGAGAGGGAACTTCTGGAACAAGCTCTCACGCAACATGACAATAGAATAAGAACAATAAATAAACTAGGCATGTATCAATAGGCATTAGGCATGGCAATATATCGTCCAAATTAAAAAGTCCCTTGTCAGTTGAAAGAATATAACTTTAAAAATAAAACACACATTACAGAGGAGGTAATCGAATATATAAAGCAGACAGTAGAAGATGAGAGGGCACGCAATTCAGAGAACCAGGCAGCTTTAGAAGCTGAGCTGATGGAGGCAAGAAGATCTTCAGAACAGTTAGCGCAACTCTCGACTCTGCGGTCACAGCTTCAGAATGCTGCTTCGTCAGAGAATCCGGTAGAGTTATAGTTAGCTATGAGGCAACTTGATGTTTTCGCTTTATTCTTTAAAGGTTTTAGAGGTATATGAATACTAAGACGCTTTGCCGCTTCTTAGAAGTCGTTGCATCGGCGGTTTATTTTTATTAATTATATAACTGTACGGTTGTTGTATACATTCTCACTATTGATTGCATGTTCTGTTACTTCTTTTGTTTTGTTGGTATTTACCTAATTTTTGTCCTTCCTATCTTGCAGTTCGAAACCTAAGTGACGCTATAGCGTAAATTCTAATTCTAAAATATATTAAAGGCGCTAGATCGACTAGCAGTACTAGAAGTAGCAACGGCCGATGCAAGGGCTGAAGCAGCAGAGCACTCGAACAAAATGGACATGATTTCACGCGATCTTCGTGCTCTAACAAAGAGTTACAACAAACTTAGGACTGAACTCGCAGACTTTCAAGCGAGGATGACTTTGGAGCATCCGGAAAGTGGTAGCGATAATGGTAGGTACTCATGACTTGAGAATCAAAAGACAGGCATCTAAGTGGTTGTCCATTAATCACGTGAGGCTTGAAAGAGGGGGCGGTTGATAAAAATCCGAAAATAACACAAGGGGGGATTCGTAAGATATTATGTAGTGTATTTATTTTTTCGTCAAACGCGCGATTTTTAAACAAATGGTGTAGACATTTTTATTATGGTCCTTAATTTCAGAATAAAATAAGATTATAGTTTATACCTGTATTTATATTAAAATAACATTCAGAAAATTTTAAGATTCTTTGTAGGTACTAAAAATACACGTGATGTTGAAAAGAGGGAAGGAGGGTGATCTTAAACCTCACTACGTATCACCAATGGGAGAGGGGGGGTTTAAAAATTCTAAAAAAAGGTCACGTGATTAATGGACAACCCCTAAGTATTTAGGCCAAAAAACATTAAGATTCCATTCGGTAAGTTCAATAATACTTCCTTTTCTAACGAAATAATACAAACTCCTTAAAAGTAACAATATTAAGTTTATTCATCTATATTAATAGAAGAATATGAATATTTTTCATTCATTTTAAATTCTTAAAAGGTGTCTTTCAATGTGTCGATTGTTCTTTGTCTAATTTAAACTCTATTTTTTTTCTGGGAGGGATTTTAACCTAAAATTAATATTGTGGAAATGAAATGATACAATTACAAATAACTTGAAACCTTAATACGTATCTTCAACATGACTCAATTAATTGATATAATTTTATATTGCTTAAAATAATATTTATTCTTCAATAAAGTTTCTTTGTTATATTCAGTAGCCAGTTTAACTATTTTAGTTGTAACTATTACGATATAATCAAAATAAAAGTATCTTAAGGTCTAATAAAAGTAACATTCATTAATTTCTCAATGCGTAAATGGACATAACTATATTTGCTACAGGTCAATTTATCTGGAGAATAGATAAGTTCTCGTCTCGCATGAAGGAAGCGAAGGAAAAGGACACCGTACTCACCAGCCCGCTCTTCCGTACCAGCAAATATGGCTATACCCTCAAGGTACGTAGAACGATTTATACGAATCAATTACCCAACTGCATTAACCTGTTCTTGTGTAGAAGATCTTTGACATTAAAATAGTGAAAAGATAGACAAGAACACTCGTTTTGGATAGACGATAAAATAGCTACGTGAACACGATATGGATTAGAACACCGTGAACTATGAATTGGACTTGAAAGAAAATAGTTTATATCGGAATAGAATCACGCTTTTGTATAGAAGCCTTATTTTATATACCTACTATCTTATTTTGAATATTTATTTTCATAGCGGCCATATTACGTTTTTACTGTAAGTGTTTATGGCATATATCTAGATTAGAGATTAACTGTTTAGAATTGATTACGGTATCCTGAGTAAGTTGTGAGTACCGCGGAGTGTAAAGGACAGACCTGATGGTTACCGAAGACGTAGACAAAATAACGTTAGCTAGATGACGTATAGCAAGACCTTAAGATTTTAAAGGCCAACCACTAAAGCCACTCAGCCCAAAATACGGTGGAGGTCTATGTCCAAAAAAAAGTCAAAAAGGGTGTAGCACCATCTAGAGATATAGATAGAGATGGATGGCCCGCGAGCCTTAGTAAATATAACCATGTAGAACATTTGATGTTGAACATGAGTGTTCGATGTCCTTATACATACATTTGTCATGTCATAGGCGGAGGTGAACCTGAACGGCATAGGCAAGTGGAGGGGTCGTCACATCACGTGCACTGTGCGTTTGGTAACAGGTCCCTATGACCCACTACTCGAATGGCCTTGCGACCTCAATATTAACATCGCACTCAAAGACCAACCTACTAATAAAAAACAGGTAGGTACTTTAAACTTAGAAAAACAATGGGCAGTGACGAAAGCGTCACCTAGGAAGTCCTTGCTGGTGGAATTAACAGGATTTGCAAGCAGTTGCGCAGCTAGGTAGTCAATGTCCCAGGTATATAAAGAAAGGAAGAGCTTAAACGTATAAGCTTACAAAATTATAGATAAGAACAAAAAAGTTCATTTATAAACGTTTAAAGAAGACTTTTCTTTTACACTTATGTTTTTTTTTTACTTTTTACAGTAGCGACTCGGGTATTGTTTTGACGGACTCGTTGGCATCCAGTAGTTTATAGTTAATAATCGACGGGTCGTGCTTCGATCCCCACCGGGTCCAACATTATTCTAATCAATTAATAATTTTTCTAAATCATATTGCACTTCCTTTGGAAATTTGAACATTAAATGGGCGGTAGAAATATCGAAATTCCGTCCATGTCACGAAGCACCGTCCACAGATGAAAAAATTCCGTCAAGTTTAATCGCGTTTCAGTTTCAGTTGGTGGATTTCCAAATATTCAAAGCCAAAATACCTCGACAGCACATCTTGATTAGATGTTATAATGTTATATGGCTGGGATATTTCACCTACCATGCTTGTCCGTCCTACTCTATCATAAAAAAAAACCTAACTCAATGCCGGCTACCTTACGAAGAATGTATGTTTGGTACCGGAATTCACATATCCATGATTAGAAGTAGACATATATCACTAATTGTTCACGGCGTCTAAACAATTGTTATGCCTTACCGATCATCTTATCAGACTGATCTTTATACCTTCCAGGCGATGGACATAGTCAAGTCTTTAGAACTCCGTCGCAAATCGTCCTCCAAGCTTCACGACTATGATGAGAAGACTAAATCCACCGAGAGCCTAGACCAGGGTGTCATTCAGATGAAGCGGCAGTACGTCTTCATTCCGCATACCAGTCTTGATAAATTTGAGTATGTTAAGAATGACGTCATGTTTCTCGAGTTCATTGTTAACCAATAAGACTAAAAGTATTGGAACCTGATACCTATATAATAATATATTACTATAATAGTTCAATAACCACCGTAGCTTTGTGCACTTTATTATTTATTGCTTTAAAGAGTTATTTTTGTATGTTTTTAAACAAAATGTTACCACATGTTACAATTAACTATTGCGTAAGCAAATATAATCTTAATGAAATTAAATTCAATATCAGAATACATCTTTTATTTACATATTAACTCTTATAAAAAAGTACTTGTATAAGAAACATACTTTTTGGAAATATAACAAATGGGTATATTTTGAATCGTCTTATTAAATGTAATCCATTAAATGGCTTGAGAGGGAAGACGAGCGTATTTTAAATGTGTGCCTTTGATTTTTTGAAAATTCACCAAATGAACACACTTCACATCGTTTCGTTTATAAAGGTGAGGTTATCCTCAGGTCATAAATTGATGTCCTGACTTATCAGGTCGGCCTTCAGAAATTCAGAAAAATATTTAACAAATATGGTGACGAAACATGCTTAACAGTACCGTTGGATATTTTTTTGGGGGGGGGGGGGAGGAGGGATTGTTAGTAATAGTTTTATCTCTCAAAACATACAATGTGTAAGCTTCGCGATACTACAACATTGACTTATACTGTGCCAAGAAGTGTTCCTCCTCTGAGAGCGTAGAACTAAGGTAGTCTTCCTCTTCGTTGCGAATCGTCTTTTTAAGTCGACGAATCGCTGATTCGCGGGCGTCCTTTCTGATACAAAATAACGAGTATTTTTATTCCTAACCTAAGTATACTCAAAAAAAAAATCAAAAGTCCAATTAGTATTTAAAATTTGACAATTGAATAACTATTCTACTAGTCACTACTAGTTTTTAGTGCTACTGAAAAATCATAATCGTTAAAAAGCTTGTCTACTTGTAGACGCAATTATTTTAATGTTTAACTTTTTATGTAGGTCGTAGATTCGACATTAAAATGTCTAGACATTGTTGATCATAAAAATACTTACTTTTTACGCTTCTCGTCTTTTTTCTGCTTCTTTCTCATAGCCGGAGAATCAGTGCTGGTGGAAGGGTTATCGGGATCACCTATGCGAACAAAACCATAATGTTGCAATAACTACATGTTATATTGACCTACATAATAATTAGTTAGGTGTTCTTACAATATCTATTTAAAGAGAAAATTTCCAGAAATGTTGTTAGTAGTTTACAGGAGTGGTAAAAATAATAATAAACATTGGTTTTGACAGTCTTAAACCGAAAACGTCGGTTAGTTAGAATCAATATTAGCATATTTCGCTATTTAAACCATTAAAAGTGCTTTGTTTGTTTTTTAAATAAGTAGAGAGGAAAAAGGATCTAATAGTAGCCATTAAAATTAAGATGAGACCTATTTGGACTTTGGATATTAGGAAATTATATTAAAGAATAAACTTGTAATTGCTATAGTGTGATTTGAAAAAAATATTTACATTCTTCCGTATGAATCTTATCGTGAAGCAAATCGAGCGCCTTGACAAGATCGTTGCGACTCAAGCGCAAGACGTACTGCGCAGCCTCCTTCTCGAAGCCCATCGATATTAACTAGAAAATGGAAATGTCTTTATTCCAATAAAAAAACATATATTATATTTTTAAAAATCTTTTCCATTTCCGTCAATGAAAATTAGGTTTAAATTTCTATTTAACAGTAGCTCAACTGGTCATCAAGAGTTTACTTCACAGAAGTTAATTTACCTCTGATAAAAGTTGATTGTCTGACTCCACGGGGTCCGCAGAGGAGTCTGCGTCTTCAGATAGGTCACTGTCATCCAACTAAAATATACATTTTTTACATAAAAAAAAGTAAATGTGAAAATATTTATGATAAAGGTGAGACTCGAATATGTATTTCTGTGTCGCCGTAATTATTTATCAAAATGTTCAACGAACCCTACCAAGCAACGTTATTTCAATCAAAACACACGCAGGCTAAGGTTCAGTTTTGTATGTTTCAGAGTAATCTATCAAGTTAAGAACTAATATTATACAAATTATAAAAGTTTTATATTAGAACAAGTATATATTTCTGTCCTTTAAATCTAATTTTGCTGTTTTATGCCCTGCGTTGGACCCTAAATTATATTTGCATGTAACTAGTATAGCACTGATATTCACCAATTCTGGTTGCTCCTGTATAATTCTTACGGCATCTGTAACATTATTGTTCGCATTCCGAAGCGCCAATATTGCCAGCTTTCGCGAATAGCCCATGCCTTGTAGCGCCTCAATTAGCCGACGGTCCACGGGGCTTCCGTCGGGGCAAAGGCCGAGCGCCCGTTGTTCCCTCTCGTCCCTATTCCTTTTCCTGGCAGCCTCCTTCTCGTCAAGGTAGTGGTGAGCTCGGTCCACGTCACCTCCACATGCCCGCAGCCCGGCGGACGCTTGGGACTTGCTCCACCCTAACTCCATGAGCGTTTGTACGGACGCTTCGTCCACCTTCGAACAAACATGTATTTAATTATTAAACTTTATTATTTTTCACATGTAACACCACAGGAATGGCTTTGCATTAATAAAAATCGGAACTAGGTTATAAATTAAACGGGCAGGTTTTATCGATAAATGGCGATCTTTTCGGCTCTACCAAGAAAGAAAATAATATTATATATGTAGCTTACGATATTGAAGATGAATTCATTTTTAGGTAATTTCAAAGACATTAATATTTTTCACATTATTGCACATGAAAGCACTATATAATTTATTTTCGACTTCTGAACAATATTTTATTTATCTACTCTTTCGAAACAGGATACTGGCACAATTTTATAAAAAACAAAAAGTATTTATAATATAAATATTACTCAACACAGAACTACACCTAATAACATTGTTAACGTAATGGTTAAGAAATTACTTACCCTCAAACCCAATAGTTCCCTCTCAGCCTTACTTAGTAACTCTTTAGCCAGAGCTCTCTTGTTCTGATGATAAGCCACAATGCCTTGCATTAAGTATAGCCGCATGAACAGGACGCGTTCATTCGCTGAATTTATAATAAGAATTACATTTAAATAAAACACTTTACGGTTTAAAAAACCCACAATTATACGTACTTAACTCTATTTACATTTTTATGTTCATAAAGTGTAGGATTAATTTCTCCCAAAATCATAATAATTTAAATATTCTAGACGTAGAGAAACCCCTGAGTAAAATTAAAAACAATTCCAAATTTCTACTGTTAAGTATGTAAAGTACCATCTGTCCCCTTGAGAGCAATAAGCCTCTGATGGTCCGGGCCATAGCTGTTAGCGAAGGCGACCTCTGCTCGGGCCAACCTCGCACTGGCATCATTCGCCGCTTGCAGGCTGCGCAGGCACAGGTAACACCAGGCAATATCCAGTTGAAGTACTCCATAATTGTCCACCGAATTCAGGATCTGGGCTCGACACTCACTATAAGGGTAATAATGACAAGAAAAAAAGCATATTCATACAATCGTCAGTTCTGACAGCTGGTATAATATGCAAGAAGCAAGATAGATTCAGGTCATTCTAATATCTAAAGTTCCATATGAGGCGGGGTAATATTGTTGAGCGGAGCTTCTGTCTATTGATAGAAACAGATAAAATTAGATTATAAATAAGTTTTAGGCAATATTATTATACAATGATAATAATGGTATATACAACACATTGTTTTTTTTTTTTTATTATCATTGTATAATACATGCATATCCTTATCTTATTGTGATTTGGAACTACATGAAACAAACCTAAGTTGTCTATCGGCCTCTAGCATCAGCACTAAGGCCAAGGAATACTCTTTCTTCTTGATGCAAGTGCGTCCTCTCTCATGAAGTACCAGACCCAAGAAGAGAGACCTTCTTTCTGACATTGGCAGATCTATCTTTTTCCCAGTCTGATCTTCCAGCTGTAATAAAGGGAAAACATAGTGTGAAATTGAATTCATATTCTGTTAGTAAGAGGGAGTTGAAAACTAATCTGTATTTCATTATCCTAAAAAGGACCTATACTATATGTTCAGAATAAACAAAAAGCAATCTAAGGTAGACAATATCAAACTTTTGTCTACATGTTGACATCTAAAACATCAAACACAAAAAATTGGTTCAAAAAGTAAAGAATCTTCCCCTACAACGTTTAATACTTATACTTGTGCTGAGAAATTTATAAAGAGGGACTGGCATGCTTTTGAAAATAACATAACAAGCGGTGCAAAGCTAACATCCATATATGAGTCGTAACCAATGTCGTCATTGCACTCTGCTAGCAAGCTGGCATCCTCCAGGGTTCCCTTCATCTGCATATACATATCATCTTCTCTTTTGACATCTTCAGGATTATCTGTAATAATAAATAATAAATGTGCAAATATTGTAACAGTAATTTGGTCTTATTGTGTAGTAAATAAGGTTTTGATTATAGCTCACAAACATACACTGCAACTGAATTATGTATCATCAATATGTATTCATTATTTTATATACCAACAAAAGCAAAGAGAAATACATATATACCAGTTACTTAAACTATGTCTAACGCCCGGTTATAGTGGTTCCGTCGGGAACAAATGAAATAATATAAAAAATAATATATAAATTATAAATTACATACAAAAAAACTAATATTACTATATTAGTACACAGAAAAAATATTCTTATTGACAACACTTACCTGCCATTACTAATGCCATGACTTGAATTCCATTTTTTACACCTTGTTCTTTCAAACTTGGAGTGGGTCTGATGACTTTTCCATTAAATATTAACTTTAACCTGTATAATATTATGTGAAATAAATGCTAAAAATAAATATTAAAACTTAAGAACAATTCTTCAAAGACAATAATGATCTTCTAACCTTGCATTGTCAACATTCAAGACCTCAGCTACAGCATCAATCAACTCAGAGCCCATAACATTAAGTCTCTTCATTACATTAAATATACTCTTCTCTTTTCCAGTAACTTTGATCCGTAGAGTTGCACATCCTGTCTCTTTAAACTCTTCATTTGCTTTTGAACGTTCCACTGAATGTTGCTGTAGCTCAATGAGTCCATCAACAACAATATTGACATCTATTTTTAGGTCAGATGCATACTTATTCGCCAGCTCCTGTTTGCAAAAGTCTTATGAAAAGTTGCTGACTAGAGAGTGTTATTAACTTTTCATTTAAAATAACTGCTTATTCTATATTTTATTGGAATTAATAGTAAGACTAGTGGTGCCATAGTCGATTTAAATCATTTAATGTAAAAGAAACGTACTGTTAAAGATACAAACCTGCAAGCTCTGTGACAAATCTCCACCGGTGGAAATAAAAGGAGATTCCCATAGCTTAATTTTGTCTTCATTTAATTTGGATCGTAGTTTAATCAACAAATCTTCACGTTCTAAGTTAGACTCCATAATGAGAAAATAACATATATTTATTTTATCGCGGTAACTAAGAATGATGACTTGTTTTTCTTCAAATTTCCAGATTACAAAACACACAAAGCGCTAATTTCAAAATACATTCACTTTTCGTAGTGTGACTTTGACAACGGACAATGGCAATTGGCAATTGCCATTTGAAGATAAACTATTAATAATTACAACTGTGTGAAAATTGAATTATTATAGTTTATAAATCTATAGAAGTGGTGGTTTTATTTTTAGAACCTTCATAATTTTTATAATTTAAATTAACTTGGAAGCTTGTAATAATATAATCACTATATTCGCTGCAGTTTACTTTTAGCTACTCAACTTATAATCAGTGCAGACTATAGATTATAAAAATATCACTAACGCAATGTTAACTAATGTCTGGCCATACAACATTAATAAAAAATAATGTAGTACTTACTTTTTGGCGCGCATTTCAGGTTTTGTTGTAGCCTGTAGGACTCAAAGGGCTTAAATAATTTGAGCGAGTATGTATTTGTAGGGGAAAAGGGTGCAAACAAATGCATGTAATATTATATAATACATATATGTATCAGAATCCATTTTGCCATGAAGGTAATAAAAGCAGAATTCGCTTACATTTAAATGTACTTTACCAATATAACATTATACGGCCTGCGATATGTATTAAATAAACATGAATAGGTATCAAACTAGTGCGTCACGTACAATCGCCCAAATAAATGGTTTACCACTTTCCGAAGGGAAGCTTAGCGAGATTAAGTCGTACATCCAGCTTTGAAAATAACGTTATATTTACATTTTCCTTTACTCAAATAAATGCTATGACAGCTGTAATATTATACGCAGGTACCATATTCTTATTTGCATAAGTGTGTAGGATTACATTATAAAAATAAATTTATGTACCGTTTTCATTTTTTATATTAAACGGTTTCATTGTAAAATAAATCATTCCGACCACCATCAAAGTAATAATAATGACATATTTTTGATACATATATTTTTTTTAGTTACGGTGTATATGCTACATTTGGCAGACACTTATATTCTTATCACTGCTACCATGGATGATGTTCAAGAGCTGGCCCAACAGTTCGTGGAGTCCCCTGTTATGGAAGAACTCAACAGAATCTGGAGAAGAGCTTCTAACCGAGTAAAAGAGAAGTTAGGAGAACCACAGGGTACATATTAAGATAGACTATAGTAGTTTTTTAATTACAGATGCAGAGTGTATGAGGTACTTGTATGGAGTGATATACAAGTAAAATTAAAAAGAGACACAAAACAGATCTTATTCCAAATTTTTGTTGCAGAACATCAGTTCAGTCGCCGCTCTAATATCCAGGATGATGCTATAGTATCACTTGCTAAGAACGCCAGTATTTATATCAAGACGTTTAAAAAGGCTCTGGGGAATCTCAAATAGTATTCACTTACAGTTATTTTATATTCACTATCTCTTTTTTAATAAACACATTGTAAATAAACAATTACAGGTAACTGTCATGGTATAGTTTGCAATGTTATGCCTTACCTCTACAAATGCGCTTCCAGACAACTCGAAAAAGAAGCCTAATTAATGAAAGGGGAGAAAGTGATTGAGTAATAAACAAAGAGAGACATAAAATGTAAATAATTATCAAATTTTGGTGGTTAAACTATGTACACATTTTATTCTAAGTACATAATATCCTTCTTTACAATATTAAGCTGTATCATTGTAGGCAAAGCATGGCTGTAAAAGTCGATTTTACTCTAACCGAATCATTAATTTTTATCATGACTCGAGCTTCTATATATGCCGCAGCAAACTTCCGAGATTTAACTAATAAAATACAATTGTTCCCAAATTCCATTCGCACAGTGTTCGCAACGAGTGTTTCATCTCCAAACTTTCTTTATTGTTGGTATCATCTCGTCTTACGTCTTCAGACGGATGGAATTGTCCCTAATTTACTTCTGTAACAAGTATATAACATACACCGTATTTCTGAGGACTAAATTCACAAACAAAGAAACACACCGATTTCTCTACTTGCGGTACTTTAAAGGTTTAAAGATCGATTTATTTAAATAAAACACTCTTAGTCTTACTTAGTTACAACTTATATTAACAACGTCTCGATGTTTCGGATGCTATGCGACAGACATGGTCATGACTAAAGATGGAGGGTGTCTCTGACGTCAAAGTAAAGTAATTTTATATCTATATTTGCTATTGCGTAGTTAAAATAATAATAATATTTTCCAATAAGTTTAACTAATATATATCGCGTTTTAAGCCGTTAAAGTGTTTTACTTAAACTACTTGCGTCAACTATAGACAAGCCATTAAATCAACGAAATTGTTTTAATGGCAAGTAGTTTAGACTTCTCTTCATTTCTCGACGGTTACTATACATATATGTATTTTTTTTATGCCGAGAATCTAAGTTCAGTTCGTTTAACTATCCAGTCAAAGGTAAAAGGTAAACATATTATAATAAACGAATAAGTACCTAAAATTGTATTAGAAAATGTGTCAAATAGTTAATTCCTCAGACCACAATCATCGAATCAATGTTATTACTAGAAATGGAATAAAATAAATACTAAAACACTGAGGTAGAGCACGAACGTCATGCCATTATATCAACTTATCACAGAGTCCATTCAAAATGCCGTTGGTGCTTTGCTGACTCGGTACATGAGGGTAGCGACACGCTTGCCGATGGTGACGTGGAAAACATGCCACATATTATATAATATGTACTTACAAACAGACATACATTACTATCGCCTAAAATCTTAGATTAAATATATTGTTAAAATGTCTGAAAACCTGACATGTACGTTTTTATACTTAAAAGTCGTAATTTTTAAATTGCACCTATGCCAAGATAAGTTACAGTAACAAATAAACCAAAATCAATTTGTAATAATGTAATCGTATTCCAAAGCGTACGTAGTTAATTCAAAGTTCCAATTAATATTCAATTATTAGCGAATTTTCATTAGAGTACCTACTTGTAACAAGCATTTGATGGATTGAGAAGCGAGTGGCACGTAATTAATTGATAAAGTAGCTAGTGTTGATACTTTAGGAGCTAGAAGATATGACATCTTTTTTAAGTGTTTGGAAAAGCTTATAAAATCAGATAATAAATCTTTCCATTTTTTTTCCCCCCCTTTTTTTTTTTCCCCCGCGCGCCCCCCCCCCCCCCCCCCCCCCCCCCCCCCCCCCCCCCTTTTTTTTTTTTTTTTTTTTTTTTTTTAAATAATAATATCCTTTAAAATCTTAAATTATTATAACTGTATTATTTCAATTTACAAAAAAAAACGCATTTTTAAATTAATTTTAAAGCACGTATCACGCACGACCTGACCATTTCCCATAAGTACTCATATATTGAAAATACTTTTCTCTTCGCAAGAGACTTATTCGAGCTTTTATTGTATTAATTCGAGAATATACGAATTCGATTTTACTGCTCATTGGGTTTATGTAACAAAATGGTGCTCATCCGGTACCTTTTATGCACGTAATATATAATGGGAATTATCTTAAGGTAGCCTGGAGGCCGGAAGGGATCGGGGAAAACGTCTTATTTGCGATTAGAGTACGACTTTGTTGGTGAAAGGTGTAATTAAGTCGGTTTAGTGGCTGAATGCGTCTATCTGTGAAACTGAATTTTGTCTAGTAATCTTTAGTCATAAGATCATTATTTTAATGCGTAATGTAAAAAAATATTTGAATGTGCATATAATCTATTAAAGATGGGCAGAGTACTCGGTTGATACTCGGTACTCTGCGTACTCGGCGGGATTTTTGATACGCGTACTCGGCCGAATAACTCAGTCATACTTTGTTATTTCATAACTAACATAGTATGTAATATACTATGTATGTATATATGAAAAGCAATATATTTGGGTAGATATAATTAAAACAATAGTGTTAATCCAAAAGTATGATTTAGTAATTTAGAAAATCTTTAAAAATCTCAATGTATAAAATCAAAATTATGCTAATTAATGAATAGAAATAAGACAAAATTACGAGAAGAGTAATAAGTAGATTTTATATTAATTAATTATATTAAATAATTTAATGGGAATTTGATTGAACTCGGCCGCCTTAATCGATTGAAAAAAAAATGAGCCGAGTAAAACTCGATACTCGTTACTCGGCAAAAGTGTTACTCGGCGCATCTCTATAATCTATAAGCTTCTACCGCCCTACTTCAGCAAATTAATAATAATTGTTTAAAAATTGTTTTTTTCTGACGTCCCTGGTTACATCCCTGGTTACAAGCTTGGGAATTAACGTTCGAATTCCGGGCGAATAAAATGGTCAGAAATAAATCTATAAATAAAAACAATTAAGAAACACAAATGTCTATTTGTGAGGAAACGAGGTTTTACATTGACGGCCTCTAAAGCAATACGTGTTGTTAAGGAATGTCATTTCGTTAGTGAGTAAACCAATATCAGTTTTAAACAATTCACAGTGAGCCCTAGCTTGGTGAAAAGGGTCTGACACCAGGTGCTCTCTATTAGAAATCGGTTAAGAAGCTTAACGAAATGGTTTCCCACATGCCGTTGCCTGTCTGTTTGAAAGCAAGTGTATTTATTTATACATTATTGAAGCCTTGCGTTGTAAACAGTATCAAACAATAACTGTCTACTCCGATTAAATATTTATATTTTTACAGTATAAAAATGTTAATCTACAAAAGCACAGAGACCGAAAATTGTTAACATAATTCTTATTTAAATAAAACACTTTAACGGTTTACAACGCGATATATTAGTTAAACTTATTTGAAAACGATTTTTAACTTCGGCCCGACGTTTCGGATGCTTTGCAGCAGCCGTGGTCACGGGCCGAAGTTAAAAATCATTTTCAAATAAGTTTAACTAATATATCGCGTTTTAAACCGTTAAAGTGTTTTATTTAAATGTGTACTACTCGCGTAAACTATAGACAGTATTTAACATAATTCTTACTCAAATAATAGTAAAAATTCATTTTCGCAAGTCGATTGCGCATTTTATTTTCCTCCTCATTGAAAATCACGTTGTTTGGAATTGGGCCATTCTGGCTGAATCGGTATAGGTAAATTACGTCTGGTTTTACATAAAAATACGCCCTCAATGTGAAATTAAATTTATTAGACAGATAACCTAAGACAAATGATTACCACAGTAGCACAAATTGCTTGCAATTCGTTCCCGAACACTGTAACAACGAGATTAAATTAACATAATATTAAGCTTCGCACCGAAATTAAAAATTAGACGTTGTTAGCGTCGATCCGTACAAAACAGAAATCAGATTTAATAGATAGTCTACTTGTAGTTGTAAGCGTGTAAACTATTTTGTAGTTGAAACGCGTCTTATTGTTTCAAAATGTATATTATTTTTCACATTTTAGTGACTGCGATATAGTTCGGTACATTTAATATTAGCTTTATGCGTGCAACTTACTCTGGCTTCGCATCCTAATCCCGTGCACTGCAAATGTTCAAAGTTTAATTGTGTACAGCGGAAAGTTACAAAAATAAAAGGTTTTGCACAATTCACTTACGTTCGAAACACATTCCTCGCCGTCGCACTGAAAAATTCTTCTTTTAGCTTTTTCCATGAGTTGTGAATAAAAATATTGCAACTACGCATATTCACAGGCTTTAAATGTCTTTATATATCGATCCGAAAAACACTACTACTACTACTGTACTATCTGTAGTTTACGCGAGTAGTACATATTGAAATAACTCGCGTTCCTATTTGGTTTTTAAATTCTTTCAACATTAGTTTTTACTGCCCGACGTTTCGGATGCTTTGCAGCAGCCGTGGCCCTACCCGTGACCGCGATATCACGTTTGAAACCGTTAAAGTGTCAAAAATGACCGTATTTAAATTACTACTACTTGTGAAATGTACTATGTTTCGTATATTAGTTAATTTTAAATGAGTTTTTGCAATTATTGAAGTAAATTCATAAAAACCGTGTGAATGGACAAGCTTATTCAAATACAATTATTTTAAAAGCTTTGAAATGTGTTTTATGTTTTTTTTAATTCAAAACGTACATTCAAGTCAACGAAAGAACATAAATATTGGACTATTTTAAAATAAAAACCGAACCTTTGATTTACACATTAAGCCCGTGCACTGAAATACAAATAAAAGTCAAATTCAAAGTAAGGTAATAATTCTATCCATTAATAAACAAAATATAAAAAATGCGTATTATTTGATTAACAAGTCTGGGGATAAAGTAAACTAACAATTAACATTAAATTATACATATAGATAGATACTAAAAGACTTCAGCTAACGATATCTTTTTGCTACTGATAATGCTTACATAAATTGTTACTATTGTAAGATACAACCAATTTTATTTAAAAATAATATAGAGCCTATTTTGATTGAATTTA